GTGCTATGAGTGACGCAGACAGCACACACAAACACGAACACATGCTGAAATGAGTGCTGTGCCTGCCTGTTATGAGGAGATTGTGAATAAAGAATGAATATTAGTCGAATTTAAAATAAACATTTGCATTTTAATGTTAGGTGTGCGTCAGGGAGCGTCATCAGTGGCGCGCGAGATGCGGTGATGATGTAAGTGACGTTGTTGCATTTGAATGTTTTGTTAGTCTAGCCCACGAGATGCGCCGCTGCTGCGTTATTCATTCAAAATATTAGAGAAATATAGAAGCTCAATGCGGAGAAGATCTTGAATGGGTTAAAACTGAAACCAAGCCATTCACACAGAACGCATATTCAGCGCATTTTTTAGACGGACAAATATGACTGCTGCGCTCGCGTCTCACAGAAGAGATGTATAGAAAGCCATGCAAAGTTAAAACAGTTTAAACTTTTAGAAAATTTTTCACTGCGTCTAATATGTTTTTAAATGCAGTCTGTGTGAATGGTGCTTCGGCTCTTTGTATTAAGCAATGCATAAATACATGATGCTGTTTTGTTCATAATTGTTTATGCAATTTACAAAATTATGTTTGATTTATACGAGTTAATTTAGACGTAATGCACGTATTTCTTTTTATAGACCGTTATTTCCTTTGCGTTGGCAATTTAATGCGCTGCATTATTTTGCTCATTGCGCCCTCCTGTGGCTTCGGGAGACAAGCCAAAAGTTTCCTTAAAACCTATTTAATCTGCATATAAAACATTAGAAATTAGATATTTGTTTAAGTCTGCATATAAAACATTAGATAGAAATGAGATATTTGTTTAATTTTTATTGTGTTTGATTGTTAAAAAATATTTGTTGTTTGTCTCAATAAATAAACAATTTTTTCTATTGCTTTTTGTTTTAAAAAAGGTTATTAAAAAATGTCAATAATTATCGATACCGAACGACATGAAACATTATATCATTAATAAATTTTTTTTGCTATATCACCCAGCCCTAGTAAAGAGTATTGTTGAGTTTTTAAGATAAATAAGATATTAATAGAAGTTTATGGGTTATAAAACATAGTTTTGTGTTGCTAGGGTGTTCTGGGTGGATGCCAGGTGGTTAATCTTTCTGATATACTGGTCTCCAGATATGTCTCGGGTTCTTTTGTGGGATTTTTTTGTCCGTTTTATCGCCACAAACACTCCCTCCATCTGACAGATAGCCCCGCCCCCAAACTCACGCCATTGGTGGAGTCAGAATTGTTATGTTGCGTATCTCAAACAAACAGATTGACGTTCTGAAAGGGTGTTTGACTCTTCAATGATTAACTCATAGTGACTGAACATTAAACTGACAGCAGAACGTGTCGATGTTGAAGATGACACAGAGGATATATCAGGCATAAGCTTGAGACTCGTCTTTGGTTTTCCTGTTTGGATTCTCTCGCTGGCTGAGTGACATTTAGATTATGAAGGAACACGTCTGTCATAATCTCTAACCTGGAAGCTTATCAGTGCCATTTAAAAAGCTTTAGCTGTTGTTTTTTGTCTTTATCTGCGCCGGTCTTTCCTCAGGGCTGTTATTGTGGCCCGACACACGATCAGCGATGAATAATTAACCCAGAGATCAGCTCGAGTAAAAGTTTATTCAGATCTCACTCTGATCTCTCTCTCTGAGCGTCTCAGTTTGATTGTGACGTAACTGGAGGAGAAGTTACTGAGCCCAGCGCCTGTAATCTGGGATCTCCTTACAGCAGCAAACAGAGAAAGCTGACAACACTTTCATAGCTATGAAAGCACAATCTCATTTTTCCCTTCTCAAAAGATATTGAAATCGATGTGGATAGTTTCATCATTTACTGCGGTTTACAGCTCTGGAATATGGTGAGCTTGATTCGTGTTTCAGTTCCTCTGTCATGCTGGATAAGTCGTGTATTTCTTGGAAAAATTAAAAAAAATGTTTTACTGTCTTGTCATAGTCATCCAATCTGACCTAGTTTACTTGGAAACTTTTTAACTAGGTTTTTTACTGTGCATTTACTTTGTGCATTAAATATTTTGAATCTGCTTGGCGAAAATAGAAACGATGGTTTCTCTGAATGAAAATAAATCTAAATATTATACATTATATAAATATAAAAAATCAAGGGTGACAAATACTTAATAATTGAAATTTTAAAATAATGTTTAAATTTGCAAGGATGTGTTAAATTGATCAAAAGTGACAGTAAAGATGTTTTTAATGTTACAAAAAGAATCCTATTTTAAATAAAATTTCTGTTCATCTAAATATATACTAAAACAACATGTTTTAGTATATATGTCATGGTTTCCACAAAAATATGAAGCAGCACAACTGTTTAAAACATTGATAATGATCAGAAATGTTGTTTGAGCAGCAAATGAGCATATTAGAATGATTTCTGAAGATCATGTGACACTGAAGACTGGAGTAATGATGCTGAAAATTCAGCTGCGCATCACAGAAATAAATGACAGTTTAACAGATATTCACATAGAAAGCAGTTATTTTAAATTGCAAAAATATTTCGCAATATTACTAATTTTACTGTATTTTTAATCAAATAAATGGTGAGCACAAGAGACTTCTTTCAAAAACATAAAATCTTACAGACATCAAACGTTTGACTCGTGGTGGTGTTTATTTTCCTGAAAATTAAGAGATGTTAAGATGCCTTTGAAGTTACTTTTATAGGGCTATGAATTTATGCATAGCTATTGCTTACAAAAATACAAGGGATTTCTCAAAAATAGCAAATTCTGATTTTGCGTAATTAAACGTTTATATATTGTTCTGCTGTAGAAAAAGTAGTTTACAAGTTTCAGCTTAGTCTAAGCCTAATGAGCACTTTTGAGGATTAAATATTTGCTGAATTTGTGTGTGGTTTTTTTTGTGAGATTCATGCCATCAGATAATCAGATAGATTAATGTTGAATATCAGCAAGCAGAACTGTACATTGTTTGCCATGCAGCTAAATAATGTTGAAAATGCACAAATGCGTGTGAGAACATGCTTCAGTGTGCGTTACGTGTTGTTTGGTGTGTTTTGTGCTTGCAGGTCTCAGTGTAGCCGTGTGTCATGGCCTGCAGTGTTGCTAAAGCAGGCCCTGCTAATGGCTTCCCTATGAAAGCGCAGCTGCAGATCACGGGTACGTTTGCGTATTTATCTGATGTGACATTCTTCCTCATCCGCTGGACTTCGATGTTCTGTCTCATTAATAAACACCAATATTTAAATTCTGATGGCGTCACAGAGCAGTAAATGAGCCGCTGTGCACGGCTTCAGTTTTTTTCTCTCTGTTGCTAATAAAAGAGAACAAAAGGCCAAAAAAAAGACCATCATACACATATGAACGCACACCACACAGCTTGTTTTTTGCTTTCATTCAGCAGCGATCTCCAAACTAGAGAAACTATCATCAGGAAGTGTGCATGTTATTAGTGTATGAGTGTTAATAGTAAGTTAATATGATAATAATAATACTATACTAATTATATTAATATAATTAATACTACTAATTATATTAATATATACTAATATTAAAAGTAGAGCCCGACCGATATATCGTTTTGCCGATATTATCGGCCGATATGAGCCTGTCGCCGATATGAACATTTTTTTTTACAGAACATATAACGCAGATAAAATGCTTGAAATGGTGTAATTACTTAGTTTGTCCAGCAGAGCGCGCTCCATTGTTTGCTACTGGCGACCTGGATGAAACGCTTTAAAGCTGAAGGCTATGGAAAACCATTCAAACTTTGAACGGCCATATCTCCGTAACGGCGCGGCGAATCCGCACCAAATTCAGGGGATCCCTTCAGCTCGAGGAACCCTCTCGAATGCGAATCAAGTGGACGTCTTGAGGTCCGCTTTCGAATGAGACCACCCCCGCGTGGACAGCCCCCGGGGTTCGGGAGTTACGGGTGGTTAAATTCGTGGTCCGGCGCCGACCGATCAAGCGATCCTGGGGGGCTACCGATGCGCGGAGGGTGGCGTTCGAGAGGGCT